GTGCCCCGCAGGCACCGCTAAAGCCTGGTACTCGTTGCAAGGTCCTGAGCGTCAGGAGTGAGTTGTGGCAGACGAAACGCTTTAACGTGTGGAGGGAGGTGGGCTTGATAGAGTGATTTCTCGGGCTTATTCCGACAATCCCAGTCCTGATTTGTTCCTGGTATTTGGTTGCCCTTGCTTGGAATTTGCCCTCCACATGACGTTTATTTGCCCCAGGAAGACAATAAATCGGTGTACGCCCAGTACTGCTTCAGACTGCATCAGAATGATTATGCGCTAGTGCTTGCTTGCATCATGGCTGTTTAATGTCAGCTCCACTGGCATATAAGGAACTTCATAAAATAATCCTAGCAAGAAACCAATTGAGTGGAATATAAATATTGATTTTCCTGGAATGCCTTGGGTGAAAACAAACAGCACTTGATAGGACTCCAATTTGCGCTTTCGAGAATGAAATTTAGAATCGCTCCATCCACCTGAGTAATCGTACTTAAATAGGTGCATTTAATATATTTATAATTATTGACTATTCAGTCTATTCAACCGCGTTTTTTGAGAATCTATATATTTGTGTGTCTTTATCGGAAAGCGTATAATTCTTCCATGGAAAATATTGACCCCCAGAAAATGGGTGATGCGATGTTTCGCAGGGTTCAGGCAATTGATTTGGCGGAACTGCACCTCCACCGCTAAGAAACTATAGTAGGCTCTCCTCCTGTTTAGTCGGCTAAGCAACGCTCATGGTAAGTCATTTCGGGCAGACGGGGTGATTTTATAAGTAAGCCCCTCCTGACGCTATCAACCATTTAATTTGCGTCTAGTTATTCTCTTGCTCCTGTATGGCAGGCTATATTAGTCGGAACGGGTCGGCGCTTATCAAAAAGAATACGTTAGCACCTCCCTGCGTGGCTGAGCAGTGGTGAACTCAGGAGCATCAACAGTGCCACTGATGCCCAAATTGTTGACACTGGACATCGTCTGAACCCCAACAATGTCTTCAAGGTGATTTATAATGTCCCACCAAACTAATCAAAGTCCCTGGGTGAAAGTTTGCTAGCAACAGCAGGAGCAACCGCTATCCGGTTGCAGAAGCCGGTTTTGTGCGCACAAAAGAATCTCCTGCAAGCTCCGCGTCTGGCATGGCCCCCAGTCACGTAACTGCATGCATTTTCTGCGAATTCTTTCTTTCTGCCACCCTCCCCCTGTCCGACTTCAAGAGACTCTCATTGCGGCGTAACCAGCCGCATATTATCAACTCCCACCCCCTTCCCCTATTCCCATAACTAATTTGCCCCTAAGAATGAACGTATTCGCCTGCTTGTTTACCTTGTACCTCTTACCCCCTCCCCATATAAATGTAATGGCCCGATGAGAATTTGTCCATAGCCTACGTATGCTCGCAAACTAATCTTCTTAGTATTTGTTTGTTAAATTTGTTCGTTGTGACACCACAAGAAACTAGCAAAAATTTCTGCAAGTACTGGGGCGATTGCGTCAGGCAGTGACCAAAAGGGCAACCTGAATTTTAGCGATGGGAGACTGGCTGCCTCATCATTACGACGTTCAAAATTAACCTGCTCAGGCAAAACGACACCATAACAATGGCTATTACCACTCGACTTTCTCATAAGACGTAGCTTTCTGTTATTTATTGTTATCCCCAAGAATGGAAGGTAAACCTTTGGCAAAGCATCTTCAGATCAAACAGTTCACGTAATCGAATGAACAGATTTTGAAGGGGATTTCTGTTTTGGGTGCGACCTTCGGTAAAAAATTCAAATAAATTTGTATAGCATTTTGGGTGCCCCTTAGTAAATGTAGCGCAAAACCTTATAACAGAATTCTCACCAGTGACCGCGCCAGCTAAAAATGCAATCTGATTCACCTCTATGAGTGCGAAGTAATATGTAATCTTTACTTCAATAATCTCCCCATCATAGGCATGCATTTGTACTGCAGCCATGTTGACGACTTCAAGACCGCGAAGCCGGTTTGCATGCAGAATGCATTCCCATAGCTCATAGCGACCCGTTTCGATGACATATGTTCATCAACTAACCAGGATATGAGCTTTGAGGGGAATAGGTGTACCGGCGCGAATTTCTTCATCCACGCAACTGGCGGCACCACAGCTGTTCCATTCGCCGGAGGCCGAAGTTGACACTGAGGGAATGCTGCCGAAGGTAAAGACTTCGCTGCCCTCGGGGGAGTCTTGGTCGGAGAGGAATGTGGGTCCACAAGGCAGGGTGCAGGTCGGTGTTAGTAGGGGGGCCGTAGTACTGAAGGTGCGGTCGGCAGAGATATCCTCAACCGATGTTACAACCTTCGGTGGCAACGGGGGTAATGATTGCAGCAGTTTTTGTTCGGTTTCAGAAAGCCCCTGACAAGCTGAGAAGCAGAAGGCAGACAAATGAATATGCATTGGGGGATTTCAAGGAGAGCAGGGCAGCTAAAGGGATATATTCTTACCAGGTGAGAGGTGGCTATTTCAGGTAAGTTAGCCGTTTCCAGTGAATTTGGGGTAAATAACTGCCATGAAAAGTGTGCTATTTACTTCATGTCTGGCCCGAATGCAAATAAATTGGTTAAGTGTCCAGATGAAGGCTGGGCAAAAAAGGCTGACACATTTTCACCAGGGAAACATTTTTGCACGAGGTATGGGCTAAGAGGCGTGTAGATAAAGAACCGATAATTACTACATAAGTTAGAAAATAATTTATGCAGTTCTAATAAGTTGTCGAATTTGTCTCAGTTATGATGCTCACCGGTTGTGCTGAGCTTGTTAACAACGAATTCGAGTGGTATTCTGGAAAGATTCGCAAATTGCACGGTTGACTCACCGAAGCGACTGAATCTGACCCTTCTTCGCCAATTAAATGGTGTACGTCTATGCTGCATAGGTGACGTATATGATGCAGTTTTAAACGGCTTTGCGAACTGCGCCTTGAAGTAGAAACAAAGAGTTCTTATATTGGATTATAATGCTGATTAGCGTGCAACATGAGCAAAGGACGTTTCAGTTACTATTGTTTTAGTTTATTTTTATAGGTGCCTGGAAACACTGCACTCGTTGCAAGGTACGTGTATGTGTAGAAGCATTACTACTATCGATTTTACTGTGTTAATAAATTCGCATATATCGTGTTGTGATTATTTAGTAAAAACAGGAGAAACTCCTTAATCACCGGAATTATGACGTTGTTCGTCTGACGTTTCGAACTCTTACTGAAAGTAATCGTTAGAGATAAAAAGGAGCAACAAAAACAAAACAAAAAAGCCGTTACATGGGACAAGGGTCAGTCAACCACCAGGGAAGTCAGTCCAGATGTGTCTGCGCAGGGCACCCTATGTCGGCGCCAGATCGATAAATCTATTGACTTATTTCCCATCGGATGCCCAGGCTTCAGTCAACTGTCAACCTGCTCTTCCTTTTGGCGTGGGCGTTTATTGTTGCGACTGCGAAATTAAATTCTTGATCCGTTTTGTAGATGTGGGCAGGCGCTTGTGATAATTGGTCACCCCGTCTTACAGCCAACATATGCTTGTATATGTGCGATCCAAGCATGCGTCAAATCTATCCTGTTTTATTTTGAGGATGATTTACGTACCGTATGCGATACGCTATACCGACTGCTGAATTTAATTTCAAAAGTCCATACTTTTATGACTCTGTTGCACTTGGTAGGCCTGGATCGCAGTATGCTTCCGAGGCCTAATGCTGTCGAAATGCGTTAGATCGCCTATATCAGTTCCTTGATGCATGGCGGCGCATGTCGCATCCTATAAGATGATTCCACTTGAGTCCTCGGAGGATAAAAACGCAATCATCTGCTTTTGAGGGCCTACAGATGGCAGTTCCACATGAACTGGTCGTGGAGATATCAGAATTCATGTGCTTCTTCTTCCAGCTTACTAAAATGAGTGTGGACACTTTTAAATTGTGTTCTCACATAACTTCGTTTATAAGCCATCGGATGGTTTCTGTGAAAATTGAAAAGCTGTGTGGCGTTTATTGCCTTCCGTTTTCTGTTTCACAGATAAAATTTCAGTAGATATATACATCAAGGAAGGACAGCCGCTGCTCAGCTTCTCCTTCCTTCATTAATTTTATATCTAGAAGGATCAAGTTAAGATGATCATGAAAAGTCTGAAGTGTGTCTCAATTGATGATGCCCAATGTATCGTCAACAAAAGGGTACCAAAATATTGGCGGCTGTTGGGTGAAGGCAATATTTTCCAGCTCTTATGGTAGCAATTTTGCTATTTAACAGGAGGTTGGACAGTCCATCCGTGTTCCTCTGATCTTCTCAAAAGTTTCTTTCGCAAAAATGAACAATGTATTTGTATGCGGGCGTCACCTCGAGCATGCGAATATTATAATTATAAGTAGGCGATTATACACTCATAATTAGCTTACTTTAGTTATACTTATGCGATAGCACATCATGCCTTCCTCGAGTTTTGTACTCAAAGAAAAAATATTCTTTTTCAAATGTTTATAATTATGAGATTTTCTAAGACCTTATTAACTTCGTGTCTGTCTGCTTATTATTATTGCTTATAAATCATACAACATGTTCCAATTCAACTTAAAAGTGCCTAAATACCGTAGGAAGATATGGGTTTTTTCCTTTCGCAGAGAATAAATTTCAAGGAGTCTGGAGATCCCAAACCCTAGTACCAATGTATGTTGGTTTTGAAATTATTTGTAAATTAACCAAGTTTTTATGCCCAAAGTTTTAAACTTAAGTGGGGTTTTACCTTTTAACAAATAATTTCGATAATATTTTATGATGCATAAAACATTCTTACTGTAACAGAAGAAAGCATAATATCCAATATACCGAAAGTATGCGTTAAGGGTCATGAAAACCTTACAAGAAAGCGTAACAACGGCGCAGAGTCAATATTATTCGGGATTCTAAATCGCTCTTAAATACGATATTAAATTTTTTATTTGACTAAAACGCTTGAATAGAACAAAATATGCTGTAATACCTGTAACTTATCTACAGTTTTTATGTACCTTGCTTACAGCACACATTTGAATTTATAAGTGCATCAAAATAAAAAAAAACGACAAGGCCACTTTTACCACGTGTGATTATTGTAGGCGGCGCGAGGTGATGCACCTTCGAAAGCCGGTCTCCCGATGTGACTGAAATAGCATGGGATGCTGTTGCATGTAGATTAATCTCAGGGTTGTTCGTCCGATCAAAGAAATTTGTCGAAATTATCTTTTCTATTAATTCCTTCCCTTTAAGAACCAACACATTTGAGAAAAAATTTTGTCTAAAGGTACGTTTTGTCTTGCAATTTGCGTGTAGGCGGGTCGCATGGTGGCTAAACTGCCGCGAGATTTATGGCGCCAACTGCTGAAGCGTGTTACCAATTCTAGGCAGAAGAGGACTACTTTAGCAAAGATACCAACAGCTGTTGGAAAACGAAATACCCGGAAAAATCAAATTTTGGATTTATAAAGGACGAATGTAATAAAAGTTAAACATTAGACGCACAAAAGGATGCAATCCGCGCGAAGAGTTTCGCTATAAAGTACTCGCCGAAAATCGTGCAACGTGCCGACATATGCGAAAGATTGATACTCTTTCGCTAATCGGCATTGACTCAGGTTGTGATACTGATTATTGTGCTAGTCTATTCTGAAGTCATTTCAGTCAGGATAGGATGCGCGCTTTTTAACGACGTCTATTCTAAAGTCATTGCAGTCGTGATAGGATGCGGTTTTTTTTCAACGAGCTTCGTTCCGACCACTGGCAAAACGTATCTATGGTAAAAACTGTCTACTTAAGTAGTATGCCTTTTTGTCATTTATTTTGACTGTCTTTATAAATTCAAATACATTTTGTGGAAAACATGCATGAAAAAATTATTTATATTACTTGTTTAATAGCAAAGTACGTCTTCTTTAAATTTTATAATTCAAGAAATGGTATCTTCCGGTTTTAAAAACGTTGCTAATTATGAGCTGTTTTACAATTTTAAGGTGTTTATTCATAATACATCGTATCCGTCAATGTATTAATGCTGCCTAGATTTTGCATAAAACATTTTCTACATCTATTGCAATATTTTATGACACCTATGTGACTTCTTCCTCAAACTGTAGGGGAAGACGTTCTTGTACTTAAACAGCATGTACACAGTGCGCAGTTTCTAAAACTTGAGTTCGAGTGTAGCAGTCAGTAGGTTAGAAAATTATTCGACAATTGAGAAACTTTTTTTAAAACCGATAGATGCCCTTTCTTTAACTATAAAATTTAAATAAGGCGTAGTTTTTTTCGTGCATGCTCTCAATAAAATATATTTTAATTTATAAAGGCTGTCAAAATAAATGATAAAAGGCCTACTTATTAAGTTGCCCGTTTTTGCAATAGATCCTTTTTGCTAGTGATCAGTACGACGCTCGTTAAAAAGCCCGCATCCTATCATGACTGAAATGACTTCAGAATAGTGTACACGATAATCAGTGTCACAACCTGAGTCAATGCCGATTAGCGAAAGAGTATCAATCTTTTGCATATATCCGCATGTTGCGTGATTTTCGGTGACTACTGTATTTATATGCATATACGTATTTATATACACATACATTTCTAGTTTCTTTCACCCTTATTTTTTTTCAATCCTGCCAACCGCTGCACTTTCATAAATCAAGTTATGTACAGCTAAGTTTGCTTAGCTAGTAGTATTTATGTACGTTGCCTTTTCACTACAGTGTTCCCGGATCCTTTTTAAATTGAAATCGTTCCTTTAGGGGATAAAAACCAACTAGCGAATTTGTAATTCAACCAAATGCTTTCGATCGAACAGTCGGTAGCTTCATCGTCTTTTTAACTGCTTAACGTCCTATTTTATCGTGGTTCCCCAGGCAAAACCAGACTGTAAGTTGTTCGCAATAAGTTGGATAAAGTCGTGGATTTTGGAATATTATACCTGATTAGGCACTTTTTAGCTTTCAATTAAGTAGAAAATAAAAACCCGAGGCTACTTTAGGAACCTTCACCTACGCAATTTTGCGACATCAATTAAAGCACTTAGTTAAGGAGAGCGTATCCAGTGCTTGGTTCTGACTTGCAAGCAAACAATTTGAATTAAAGTATTGCAGCATACGAGTTGGACCATAACTACCGACGAGTTCCTCCCTAATGGATGCAAGACGATGAGGTGCTCGGCATCTGCTGTACTCTATTTTTCCTCACTAACCTTGGCCTTGTTGCGGAATGGAGGCCGAACGACCAGAGACAAGATCAAGTGCATTTATTGAAAACAACTAGAAAGCTGGTTTGTGCGTACCGTTCATGTGCACTATAAACCTCCTGCCTATACAAGCCACAAGAATAGTGTGCAAGGAAGTACGGAGTCTTTAGCGAATGCTCTTTTTTGTAAGATGTGGGATGTAAGACTGTACTCATACTCACGAATTGAGGCAAATTTTCGCATCCCAGTTAGGATTTAAGCTTCGGCATTGGTCAAGAAGTCAGTCGATCGATTATTTGATTGATCGCAGACATACATCGCCATGCGCAGGCATCTCCCGGCTGAGGGCACTGGCGGTTGATCGGCCCCTTCCCCCCTATAACGATTGGTTGACCCCTGTCCCTATAACTGTTGTTTGTTTTTCTTTGACGCTTATATCTCTGATGGTGGACTCCACTAAGAGTCCGAGACAAATAAAATTATGATTCTGATGACCGACACGCCTTCTCCTTCTCGCTGTGTGCTGATATTGCAGAGGCATAGTTTAACGTACAGACAAGGTAGCATATCGAGAGGAACAACGTTCAATCCCATCAAAGCAATGATGTCTGGCAGCAGAGCAATGAAGTCCGTGGAGCCAACTCACCGACCGCTGGCGACTCACAGGGCAGTGGCCTGTTCCTCTGACCGAACTTGGCGATAGAGAGATCTAGCCTTTGCCACATCTTCCGTGATCTCCTGCCCAGACGTGCCGCCTCCCTCGACATGCCCAACTCTAAACAACGTCGAAGGCGGCAGGGCTGGCAGTTGTTGCGGGACTTGACGGTGATTCGACAAAGTCCATCCCTGAGACATTGCTTTGGCTGCGAGCGTTTATCCTTCAGGGAGGATAAAAGAGGAGGTATGAAAGATCGTAGGGTATAATATACGAGCGGTTCGAATGTAGGAAAGCCTTAATGAATAATGAGCACCGTTTTTTGGTTCCTCTTTTTTATGTTGTGGATTCATAACCTATTTTACATTTTCAACACTGTGACTGCACAAAGAAACCTTTGACTTTAGTGGTGCTTGCCCCTCTTTCCACTATCAGTCAAACGCAATCGGAGTGAACGTTAGTGCTGCATACTGAGTGAGTTCATTGATTGGATGATTTCACCATCATTATTAAGAAAGCCTGGCAGAGTTTAATAATTCAGTTGACCAAATTGTAAAAATTCGCAACTCTGGTGGGAGTCGAACCTACACAGCAGGGAAGGCTTCTGCGCAGCCAAAAATCTACCAACCCAACATTTAATGGAATGGAGTTGAGTAATAATTTTCAGTTCATCCTGTATTTAGGACCTCAAGTTTCTTTTAGTAGATTGCAACTAGACAGAAAGGGAACGCCCGAGAAACCAAACAAATGCCGCACCTCTTCTGCCCGAAGTGGTCTCTTGGGTGAATTATATAATTGATAAAGACTGGTGGTTGCACAAAGAGAAAACCAAAACCAGATAAAGCACATCGCTACTTGTCAGTTTCAAAGGTATCAACCTTCATTCTAGAGGCGCAAATGCGGCAAAGCCGGAACTTTCCAAAATCAAATGAGACAACAGGTCAGGGAACCTGAAAGAGTTTAGGATGCTAGGGAGGAACCGGCTAGTTTTCTTCTACGTTTTCTGTACGCATTGTCTTAAAAAAAATCTGGCGCTGTTCTGAACAGATTTTCGAATATTTTCATGGAGTAAGAGATGGAAAAAAAACTAACGTACGCAAGTACGAGCGTTAACATTTAGTGAAGGCTAAAACGTCCATTGACATTCTGCAAGGTTTTGCTGAGAATGAA